GTAAATCCTTTGGAGGGCAAGTGGTTTGAACCCCAGCTTACACGAAGGCAAAGATTTGCTGTAGTCTGTGTATATGTGAGGATCAAGTGCTTCACTACTGATTATGTGCCATTAGATCTCTAGTCCCAGTGTGCCAAGGACACATGAAATAGGAAACAGTGATTTAATACTGCATAGGAATTCTCATTTTTATCACAGTGCAAGTTGAAGCTTATGAAGTTTAAAAGGCCAAAGGTCCCTAAATTTAAAAACCTCTATTTTTTTTTAATACAGAAGATCTAGCAGAAGGCAAACCAAAAATGTAGGTGGTATAAACTACAAATCTGCATTCACATGGCAGTTTAGCCACTAATAGTTTGCTGTGTGCAGAGGCAACTAAACATAATAAGAACAGTCTGTGCTATAGTCACATACAAACTAGCCACCTAGCTGCCAGCCAGTAGAAACACTGACCCTGGACACAAACTGACTTCATCCAGGGTTGGTCAGAGCCTCTATTCACATGTAACCATTCATATGAATGGTTACATGTGAATTAAAGTGGAGTTCAACCTGAAAAAAAGTCAGCAGCTACAAAAACTGTAGCTGCTGACTTTTCAAATACAGACACTTACCTGTCCCTCGGTCCACCGGTGTCCTCACCACAGCTGGTTTCACTGGCCGTCTACTCTCCCTGGCGCCGGCATCTTCAGTGTGGGCACCCGGCTGTAACAGCTTGCGGCTTCACAGCCGGGTGCCCACTGCACGTGCGCGAGAAGCGCTACGCTTTGTGAATGGCCTCGTAGTCTTCTGGGACCTGTCACATGTCCCAGAAGACTACAGGGAAGGGGGGGGGGGCAACTTCTGCTTCCAATCGCCTAGGTGATTGCAGCGGAAGTGGGAGCAGGTACCTGTCAAATTTGGGTGCCAAAGATGCCAATCCTTAATGGGGAGCGGGGGACAAAGACTTAAAGTGGAACTTCCCCTTTTGGGTGGAGCTCCGCTTTAAAGTGGTTGTAAAGGCAGACGGTTTTTTTTACCTTGCTGCATTCTATTGGCTCCCACTGCTGTCTATCAGAGCCAGTGACGAGGAGCAGAGGACAGGTTTGTGCCAATTCTGTGTTTCTTACGAACACACAGAGCAGGGTTGAGGAGTGAGCATGCATGAGTGTCCCCAACGCAAGCGGATTGCTCTGGGGACATTTTGGGTGGGGGTGGAGCCCAGAGCACTGGTGAAAGACCCCAGAAGAGGAGGATCAGGGCTGCTCTATGCACAGAGCAGGCAAGTATGACAACAAAAAAACCCCCCAGAACCTCTACTATCACTTTAATCAATGGTCATTTAAAATAAATAAAGCCTTTTGCACATGAGAGTTAAAAAGCCAATGTTTTTACTGATCTGAACACAGGTGCATTGTTTTCTAAGGAACAATGCACACCGCTGCACAAAGATTAGTAATACAGCAATGAACATAGACCCATAAAAAGAAAAAAAAATATTAATGTTTGAGTGCAGTAATTTAAGAGCAAATGCACGTACAATATATTACAACATGGTAACTAGAAGAGGAAGACGAATTTATCGTATGTATACGCATACGCATGTTTTTTTACCTACACATGTGTATACACAAGGTTTTTATGGAACATTTTACTCAGGATATTTCTGTCAGCAAGAGAGTAAAGACATCAGTAAATGATTACCTACGTGGGCAAGAAGCCTAAAAAATCACTATCCTATTTTAATACTCTCAAAGAATACTCACAAATGTATGCAATCCTGTTTTTACAAACTTGTAAAAAACAAAATCATTCTGCTTTTTTTTGTTAATACCTCATTCAGACATACAGTGGGGATCGAAAGTTTGGGCACCCCAGCTAAAAATTTGTATTAATGTGCATAAAGAAGCCAAGGAAAGATGGAAAAATCTCCAAAAGGCATCAAATTACAGATTAGACATTCTTATAATATGTCAACAAAAGTTAGATTTTATTTCTATCATTTACACTTTCAAAATAACAGAAAACAAAAAAATGGCGTCTGCAAAAGTTTGGGCACCCTGCAGAATTTATAGCATGCACTGCCCCCTTTGCCAAGCTGAGACCTGCCAGTGTCATGGATTGTTCTCAATCATTGTCTGGGAAGACCAGGTGATGTCAATCTCAAAGGTTTTAAATGCCCAGACTCATCTGACCTTGCCCCAACAATCAGCACCATGGGTTCTTCTAAGCAGTTGTCTAGAAAACTGAAACTGAAAATAGTTGACGCTCACAAAGCTGGAGAAGGCTATAAGAAGATAGCAAAGCGTTTTCAGGTGTCAATATCCTCTGTTCGGAATGTAATTAAGAAATGGCAGTCATCAGGAACAGTGGAAGTTAAAGCAAGATCTGGAAGACCAAGAAAAATATCAGACAGAACAGCTCGCAGGATTGTGAGACAAACAATTCAAAACCCACGTTTGACTGCACGATCCCTCCAGAAAGATCTGGCAGACACTGGAGTTGTGGTACACTATTCCACTATAAAGAGATACTTGTGCAAATATGGTCTTCATGGAAGAGTCATCAGAAGAAAACCTCTTCTACGTCCTCACCACAAAAATCATCGTTTGAACTTTGCAAATGAACATATAGACAAGCTTGATGCATTTTGGAAACAAGTTCTGTGGACCAATGAGGTTAAAATTGAACTTTTTGGCTGGAATGAGCAAAGGTACGTTTGGAGAAGAAGGGGCACAGTATTTAATGAAAAGAACCTCTGTCCAACTGTTAAGCATGGGGTTGGAGCAATCATGCTTTGGGGTTGTGTTGCAGCCAGTGGCACAGGGAACATCTTACGAGTAGAAGGAAAAATGGATTCAATAAAATTTCAGCAAATTTTGGATGGTAACTTGATGCCATCTGTGAAAAAGCTGAAGTTAAAGAGAGGATGGCTTCTACAAATGGATAATGATCCTAAACACACCTCGAAATCCACGGGGGATTACATCAAGAGGCGTAAACTGAAGGTTTTGCCATGGCCTTCACAATCTCCTGACCTCAACATAATTGAAAATCTATGGATAGACCTTAAAAGAGCAGTGTGTGACAGACAGCCCAGAAATCTCAAAGAACTGGAAGACTTTTGTAAGGAAGAATGGGCAAAGATACCTCAAACAAGAATTGAAAGACTCTTGGCTGGCTACAAAAAGCGTTTACAAGCTGTGATACTTGCCAAAGGGGCAGTACAAGATATTAACTCTGCAGGGTGCCCAAACTTTTGCAGACGCCATTTTTTGTTTTCTGTTATTTTGAAAGTGTAAATGATGGAAATAAAATCTAACTTTTGTTGACATATTATAAGAATGTCTAATCTGTAAATTGATGCCTTTTGGAGATTTTTCCATCTTTCCTTGGCTTCTTTATGCACATTAATACAAATTTTTAGCTGGGGTGCCCAAACTTTCGATCCCCACTGTATGTGCTCTTCTGATGCTTTACCCTTGGCTCACACTACTTCCTGCTGCATGTAGGGCAGTGCATTCATTTCAATGGCCTCCCCTACCCTCTGGTGTGATGCATTTTTCCAAAAGGGACTTCTTACCTTACATTTCCTGTTTTAGTGATGCACAAAGTTGCCATTAAGAATTAATGCACACATCTGTGTCTGCCAGACAAAAGGGTGTTTATCTGCATGTTGATGCACACGATCACCACACCAAGCCTTAAACGATAAGGTCACCTTTAGGAACATGTTTCATGTTCTACCTGTTTCTTGGGTGGAACGTGTAACATTTCCATTGCCGATGCCGCTGCCCAATCCATTGTATCTAGTGACAGCTAGTGGGGATCTTCTCCCCCCCCCACTAGCTGTCATTATTGTCAAAAATAGTCTGGGCTCTGCCTGCCCAGCCGTGTCAATCATTCACAGAATTCTGTGAATGGAAAACTACAAGTACCAACAGCCTTTGTGGCTGTCAGCTTGTAGTTCTCAATGTACTACCAGGGAGCTGTTGAGCACTGTGGTAGTTCAGTCTCTATTCCTGTCAATGTGTATCTGCCTGCCTGTACGAGGTACTGTACGAGCACACAGACACACTAACAAATCTGCAGGGGTCCTGCATGGCACCCACAATCTGATCGTGGGTGAAATGCTTTCTAGGCTCATAGTGGTGCATTTTGGTTGTGCACCATTCTAAACAAGAGTAAAATCCCCCCCATGTGGGGGGTTGGAAAGAGAGATAGAGATTCAAGCACTCACTGCCAGACACCCCAGGAGCCATGATCATGAAGGCCCGATGGCTTCCTTCTGCCCTGATCTCAGAAAATAATCCGGGAACAAGAGTTGGACACCCATCAGCAGCCCGCAGCCATCAATGCTGTGCCTATATCTGACAATGATCTAAGAACAAGAGTCAGACACCTTTCAGCAGCCCACAGCCTGCACTGCTGTGCCCATGCCTCACCTGCTCCCCAGTCACCGGCTGCCACGTGTGTCACTTCTGCCAGGGGGATGGCACCGCCCCCCTGAAAAATGCCTTGTTTGCCTCATGGTAACACTGCACTACAAAAAAAATAAAATAAATAAATGCACATTTTTTTTTTAACCTATAAAAAGATGTGCATTTTTTTTTTTTTAAAGGTGAACTATCCTTTAACCACTTGCCCACCAGTGGATTTACCCCCTTTCTGACCAGGCCATTCTTTGCAATACAGCACTGCGTTAATTTAACTTACAATTGCGCAGTCATGCAACACTGTACATAAATGAAATTTATGTCCTTTTTTCCCCTCACAAATAGAGCTTTCTTTCGGTGGTATTTGATCACCTCTGTGTTTTTTACTTTTTGCGCTATAAACAAAAACCCCACCATTTTGAAAAAAAAAAAAACAATATTTTTGACTTTTTGCTATAAAACATATCCAATAAAAAAAATCCCAATCCATGTAAATTAATTGGTTTATGTGAAAGTTATAGCATCTACAAATGGCAGTATATATACTGGAATTTTTATTTTTTTATACTAGTGACCAGCGACAAGCAGAACTGCAGCGGGCATTATAACACTGGGTGGGAACTGACTAACGGCCACTGACATCCCCAGTGACACCAATACAGTGATCAGTGCTAATAAAAAGCACTGACACTGTACTAATGACAATGGGCAGGAAGGGGTTAACATGTGGGGTGATCAAAGGATTAACTGTGTGCTGTGTGTGTTTAACATTATGTGCTGTTTTACAAGGAAGACATGCTGCTTTGTATTTCTCTGCTCTGCATGTCCTTGCTGTCAGGAGAGAGACCTGTGTTGTTTAAAACACAGATCTCTTCCCTGTCAGCTTTTCATGAAGATCACTGAGTGCTGGCAGGGAATCGCCGGCTGGGACCCAGTGACTGACATCTCTAGCCACCAATGGTGGCGTGGGTAGGGCGTCGCGCGCGCTCCCTATCCAGAAATGTAAATCACATAAATATATATGTGATGTTGCACAACCCTGTCACCCTGTAGCAGTACTCCTACTATAGGGCTGCGGGCAAGCGGTTAAGAAAGCAGATTATTTTTCTTACATGTATCACTATGTAAACTGAAAAAACAAACAAGGAGAATCAAGGAACATTACATGATCCTGCCATTATTTATAGCAAAAATGCCACTTCACTTGCACAGATAAACTTCTATTCAGTTGTAATTCAAAAATCCAAATGATTAAGCACCTTCACTGTATAAACAAGGTAATGATAAATAAGCCTACATAGTATCGCTAAGAACTAAAAATTTAACAAAGATTGAATTGGAGAAATCATCTTTTTAAATGTTATGTTGTTCTAATGCTGTAACCCCAATTTAATTCTATTTCAAAACTGTTATTGCTATTATGCAGAGCAGGGCATTGAGTCATCATTGTTTCCTTTGTGCCTTGGGCCCTTTTGCAGTCACATATCCCTATATACTGTAGCTACAGTTATGCATGTATTTCTTGCTCCCAGGCTGGCTTCAGAATCCTGCTTTCATTTGTTTGATTCTCCTGCGTATACATAAAAACATAAAAATACCATTTCTTCATATAATCATCTTATAAAAGGGTTGCTCCTCAACAAAAACACCCTTGAGTCTGTAATTAGTGATATAATCCCTCACACAACATAAAAACACACACACTTTTAAATAATTAAAATGAATAAACAAAAATATAAAATGCCATGTAAACTGTAGCATAGTAAGCACTAAATGATAAAAAACAAACGGCACAAGTGCTTTAAATAGAAATGCGTCAGAACGTGAGTATACAGCAGAAAATCAATGTAAGTGCACTGAGTCAGTGGAGCTGTTATTAGTCATTGCAGGCAATAGGATTGTTCCTTTCAAGTACGGAAAGAGTTTAATCTACACTTAAAGATCTGAGTGATGAAACTTGGTGCCAGGAGATGTATGAGGTCATTTTTTTTTAAAAAGTCAACTGAGGGATAAAAAAAAGTTTTACATTTTATATGCCTATGTCAGATCTTCCATTAAAAAGCAAGTTAAAGGTACTGCCCAAAGGGAGACATTTATTATAGGTTTCAGCTTCTTATGTTCGGAGGTTATCCATAGCCAATTTATATTTTTATTTTTTGTTTTGACATTTATTAATCGTTATTATAAACGCTTAAAAGCAGTATATATATATATATATATATATATATATATATATATATATATTATATATTGTTGGGTTAGCTCAGGTGGGGGATCTCCTTCCCTGGGACAAAGGTAGACCGCACAGCAGGCTTTCGTCAAAATCTGACTGGTTGTCAGTTTTATTAAAAAGGTTTGCAAGAAATATCAAAATAAACAAAACATCAAAATAAACCCTTGCCATCCAGGCACTAACTAAACAGAAGATGATTCCTCTCTCAGAGGTGAAGGGCTTCTCCCTGTCACCAAAACAAAATAACAGCAAACCTTTTCTTGTAGGTATAGTCCATACACAGCTCTCTCAGAATACCTCTCTGAGTCCCAGGCCACGAGCGACTCCTTGCTCCAGCCCTGCCCTTTTTGTATCACCTGTTGGTGGTCATTAGTGGAGTTCAAACTCTGGTTCAGAACCACCTCTGCCATTGTGGCCCCGAAAACCCGGAGTGGACTCCACCTTACACCTCACAGTATGATCTAATGCGAGGTGACACATATCTTCCATCCATCACTTTGCCGTTCATACTGTCACATATCCCCCCCCTCTGCTCAAGCCCCTGCGGCTGAGCAACTGTCCCAACCAGGCAATGGACCCGGGAAAGGGCATCTACATTACTTTGCAGTTTCCCTGCTCTGTGTTCCACTGTGAATTTGAACACTTGTAGCGCGAGAAACCACCTTGTCACTCGACTGTTTTTCTCCTTATTATCACACATCCATTTGAGCGGGGAATGATCAGTAACCAACTTGAACGGTGTTCCTAACAGGTAATATTTCAGGGCCTCCAAGGCCCATTTGATGGCCAAACATTCCTTCTCCACAATGGCATAGTTTCTCTCATGTTTGTTGAGTTTTCTACTTAGGTAGACCACAGGGTGCTCCTCCCCATCTCTGATTTGGGACAGTACCGCACCTAGTCCCACGTCAGAGGCATCAGTCTGTACCACAAACTGTGTTGTGAAATCTGGAGTCACAAGCACAGGTTGGGCACAGAGAGCTTGTTTCAGCCTTTGAAATACGGTCTCCGCCTCGGGATTCCACTTAATCATGACCGACCCCCTACCTTTCGTCAGATCTGTCAGTGGGGCTGCAATGGTGGCAAAATTGGGGATAAACCGCCTGTAGTATCCTGCGATCCCAAGAAATGCCCGGACTTGCTTTTTATTTACAGGATGGGGCCACTTTTGAATCGCCTCAATTTTTATTGATCTGAGGCCTAATGAGACCTCGACCAATGATGTAGCCAAGATATTTGGCCTCCTCTAAGCCTATGGCACACTTTCTGGGGTTGGCGGTAAAGACCTGCTTCCCTCAGCGAATCTACTACCGCTTGCAGGCAGGACAAATGAGACTCCCAGTCTGGACTGTGGATAACGACATCGTCCAAATAGGCAGCTGCATATTGGCGATGTGGTCTTAACGTTTTGTCCATCATTCGTTGGAATGATGCCGGAGCACCATGTAGACCAAACGGCATCCGCTTATACTGAAAGGACCCCTCGGGGGTAGAGAATGCAGTCTTTTCTTTTGCAGCTTCCGTTAAAGGAATCTGCCAATAGCCTTTGGTTAAATCTAAGGTGGTTATGTACCGAGCCGTTCCCAACCTGTCAATGAGCTCATCCACCCCGAGGCATCGGGTACGCATCAAATTTAGACACACTGTTCAGTTTTCTGAAATCATTACAGAAACGAATAGTTCCATCGGGTTTTGGGACCAACACTATGGGACTCGACCACTCACTGTGAGATTCCTCAATCACTCCCAACTCTAACATGTCCTTTATTTCCTTTGCCACCGCTTCCTGCCTGGCCTCGGGTATTCTATAGGGCTTGACATTTACGCGGACCCCGGGCTGGGTAACTATGTCATGCTGTATTACCGTCGTCAGTCCAGGTAGGTGGGAGAAGAAATCTCCATTTTTCCTCACAAACTCCTTAACATCATTTTGTTGGGCTACTGACAAGGTTTCCGTTATAGGTACCTGAGGGGCCGCGGGAACCACGTCCTTTTGGGGGCTTGGTACTGCCAACAAACTTTCCCTGTCTTTCCACGGTTTTAAGAGATTAACATGATAGATTTGTTCGGGTTTCCTTTTTCCTGGCTGGTAAACTTTATAATTTACTTCGCCCACTTTCTCCCTAATTTCAAAGGGACCTTGCCACTTTGCGAGGAATTTACTTTCCACGGTGGGGACTAGCACCAGCACTCTATCCCCAGGGTTGAAGGTATGGATCCTGGCACCCTGGTTATAAACCCTTCTCTGGACCTCCTGGGCTTGCGCCATGTGTTCCCAAACAAGTGGCATGACAGCTGCGATTCTATCCTGCATCTGTTAGATATGCTCGATTACACTTCTACAGGCCGTGGACTCTGTCTCCCAGGTTTCTTTTGCAACATCTAGCAATCCCCTGGGATGTCTACCATACAGTAATTCAAAAGGTGAATATCCTGTAGATGCCTGAGGTACTTCCCGTATAGAAAACATGAGATATGGTAGCAAAAATTCCCAATTTCTCCCATCTTTGTCCACCACCTTTTTTAACATATTCTTAAGGGTCTTGTTAAACCTTTCCACAAGCCCATCGGTTTGGGGGTGGTAGACCGAGGTACGGAGATGGGAGATTTTGAACAATTTGCATAACTCTTTCATAACTCTAGACATAAATGGCGTGCCCTGATCCGTTAATACCTCCTTTGGAATACCTACACAACTAAACACCCGGACAAGCTCTTTGGCGATATTTTTAGCAGAGGTATTACGCAAGGGGATGGCTTCAGGATACCGGGTGGCATAGTCAAGTATAACCAGTATGTGCTGATGGCCCCGGGCAGACTTTACTACTGGACCCACTAGGTCCATGCTCACTCTTTCAAACGGTACTTCAATTATGGGTAGAGGTACTAGCGGACTGCGAAAATGGGGTGAGGGCGCAGAATATTGACATTCCGGGCATGACTCACAATGCGCTTTGATGTCTCCATGTAAGCCTGGCCAGAAGAATCTCTGGGTTATTCTCTCCTTTGTTTTCTCTACACCCAGGTGTCCACCCATTATATGCCCATGAGCTAAATCCAGTACCATCCGGCGAAAGGGTTTGGGGACCACTAACTGTTCTACCACCTCCTCCCCTTGCTTTACCACTTGATACAGCAAGTTATTGTTAAGAGCCATGTAGGGAAAAGACACCGCTACATCATTTTCCACTGGTTCGCCATCAATCATTTTAATGTTTTCACGGGCTCTATTAAGTGTGGAATCTTTCAGTTGTTCCGTACAAAAATCCTCTTTTCTGACCTCTAAGTCAGGCACCACATTCTGTCCACTCTCACTAGAGCCAGCGATCATCTCTTGTTCTATATCCTCAATGTCTGGGGTTGGATCCAACTCCTCCTGCTCTCCAGCCATTACAAAGAAAGGGAAAAGATCTACGCCTTCCTCGGACACACCCACAGTTTCCACTTCCACTCGGCAGTCAAAGGGGTCAGGAGTGAGTTCAGGAGTTTCCGGTGTTTCCCCAGCAGGGGGAGCTCGGTCTTCCTGACTCCCCTCCTTATCCCATAACTTCCAGAAATGGGGAAAATCTCTCCCTACTATGGCTTCATGAAGCAGAGAGGGCACCACCCCCACAGAATGGGTCACAGGGCCCCAGGGAGTACCAATCTCCACCAGAGCAGTCTGGTAATTACGTGTATCACCATGAATACAAATAACTCCAACCA